GCCTTTGTCCTTGATTACCCACATGTCCAAAAAACTCACTTGGCAGGAATTGGATTGTGCAGTGAACTTAAGATTTGGGTCAAAACTATTGATTAGTGACACAAAATTATCAAGTTCAGCAGTGCTACCATTGAAAATGCAAAAAATATCATCTATATATCGGAACCACTTAATGATATTTGGGTGAAATTTGTTTTGCGTGGGGTTAAAGAGAAATTTGTGTTCAAAATGCCCCATATATAGATTAGCATAATTAGGTGCACAGACAGTCCCCATACTTGTGCCTGATATCTGGATGTAAAAGTCATCAAACAAAAAATAATTATGCGTCATGACAAATTCTGCCAAGTCAATAATGAGTTGGTTGGGGTGGTAGGACGTGTCAATGCGGTTCTGTAGGTAGTAACGTAGTGCCTCCAACCCTCCCTGGTGAGGTATATTGGTATATAGGCTGGTTACATCAAGGGTCAAAAGGTGGGCCTCATCTGACAACATGTTTACGTCAGAGCATTTTTTAATGAAGTCTGTAGAGTCTTTAATGTAGACTGGTAGAGACTGAACAAAAGGTTTGATGAAGTGATCCACAAAAAAGGACAGAGGAGACCATAATGAGTTAGTTTGTGCCACTATAGGGCGACCTGGAGGGTTGGTGAGAGACTTATGGATTTTAGGTAAAGTGTAAAATACTGGGCGAATGGGGTGTTTAGAATACAGAAAATCAAAATCAGTGTCTGAGATCCATTTATTTATCTTGGCATCTTCGAGGTAAGCCAAAAGTTTTTGTTGGAAGCACACTGTGGGGTCCTGATTTAATTTTCTGTAAAAACGTACATCTGATACCTGTGAGCAGATTTCTGATTTGTATTTGTCTGCATCCTGTATACAGATGGCACCCCCCACAACGTTGAAAAAAGGCCTGCCCACTAGTCAGTTTCTCCGTTTGAAAAGGATTTGTCACACCACTAACGATTACATTGAACATGCCACAGATCTGAAAGTCAGATTTCTTCTCTCTCTAATGTTGCATGTTAGAAAGCAGCAGCGGCTTGGCACAATTTCTAAAGAATTGTGCCAAGAAAAGAGCTCTCGAAGTATTGCAAAATTGTTTTCATATTTTTCTCAACCAAGGGGAGAAGTTGGAGAAGTCTGCACTTGTCAAATAAACTAAATCCCTTTGGCATAAAACAGATCTTTCTTGCAATACCTATAAACTGTAAACAACTTATGCAATAATCAACTGTAACTGTCAGTAATGGAAGTCCGATATCTTTTTGGGATGAATGCGGCTTGGGTTAACGAGTCAATGAAAATTCCAGCATCCGAAAGGGAGTTGACCACCACCACTGTTGTGGTGTAAAGACCTAATAAAGTTTTTTTACAAGCTTCAAACTAATGCCAGTTGGGGTTAAAGCAGTGATGCCTGTAGCTGCATTATACATCATTTTCTTTTTCATTTATGTGCTACTAAGTGAACTAAAAGTGTTGGTAGATTTATATCAAGGTGGTTTGGGGGTTGTATGCTGAGATACCTGATTTATAAATGCCTAACAATTGAAGGATAAAATAGTTCCTTGCTGTCAAAACATTTTGGTTCTACCACTGGTTTTCACATGCCCGTATTGTTGGCCTCTGTCAAAACTCTTGTCTATTCAGATATTATGTTACGAGCTGGATTTGTCCCCCTATCTAGCAACTTGGGTCAGGGACGGGTTGCAGTACCACTTTTGGCCAGATTTTTTAGGATCTCTTTATTCTTTTCAGGAGGATTTTCCCACATTTTTGGAAAGAACCGCCCTCTCCGCTTTTGGAAAAACGTTCTGGTCTTATTTATCACCAGAATGATTGACAATTGGGAAGGACCAATAGTCTTTAGGATCCACCCAGATGTAGAAAATCCTCCTATATACCTTTAAATTTAAGATTAGGATATCCTTTGCATCACCAACATTAGGAATGAGGAGCAGATAAAGATGAATAATAACTCTAAACTAAAATAAAACAACATTAAAAAATCTCTAACTCCTAATAATAAATAAGTATAAAATCTCAATTAAATGTCAATTTTCACATTTTGGTAAATTTTTATGCTAAATGAAATGAAACACTGAAGCCACCAGAAGTTTGTAAAGACATTCTGGAATGTGGCGTTCTTGATTTTATAACTAAGTAAGTAAGTAATCTCTATTTATACAGCACCTTTCTCAGACAAGAATCACAAAGCACTTCACAATATTGGAAAACATGTCAAACTTGAAAACAGCTTTATAGAGGATTAAGTCTATCTAGCTAATGCAGGCGGTTGACTTTGTATGTGGAGTATGCATTTGTACTGTAAACATACAGTATATGCATGTACAGTGGGCATGTGAGTGAGCTTTCCAGGCTTTTGTTGACATTGGCAGTGGGCCACACCCCTCTCCCCCCGCTCGCACCCTCCGCTACATGGCTTGGTCACATACAGGGCGCATACATCCAACTCCTACCCCTTTCCTTTAACAAACACTTCCCTTTTCTCTGGCTGCCATCCCGAGATCCCGAGTGCATTCTTTCATTCTTGGCGGCCCGTACAGTATGTACAATATACGGTGTACTGACTGGGTGGGGGAAGACAAGCCCATTTTTGTTTACTATGATTGATAGCAGAGCAAAGGCATTGAGCTACCTTTATGAGCATTTAAAATAACTTTAAAAGAAGTTAATAAAAAGGTACAGTATATATCAAGTTTGACTGATGAACGAAATATTCCTGCCTGACATCTTTACCACATCATCTGAAAACGTCTGACAATAGGTAAAGAGGTGAATGGAATGTATCCTAAAGCTGGGGTACCTAACTTTCAAACCTCAATAATAAAAAGGTTTAATACACTCCATATAATTAGGTCCTGGCTCAAAACAGTTTATTAATGTATTTATTTGAACAGGATTAATTTTGCACATAAGAAGTTGCATAAAACAAACATATCCTGGAGTATAGTTTGGTTCACTGGTTTTCTTGCGTGTGCTTTTGACTCTGCCTTATATGTATCGGCTTTTTTCCGTGACAAACAGAGTACCGGCCAATCAGCTCTCAGTATGTGAAAGATAATGCGATTTCTAATAAGATGGACACAGAAAGTATTAGTCTGTATGTTAGTATGTTCACCAGACTCTTTCTTTTTGGGATAAATAACATGTATCTATGAATGATAAATGTTTCGGTGCTTCAGTTAGAAAGTGTCTCCCACTTTTAGACATCTGAGCTCACTGCTCTCTGATGTTAAGCTCCTGTTAACGTGTCATGGCTGTGCAGCTTTAACTGTGGTTGTATAACGGACTGTCTCTTCTGTCACCACTCCATGTCTATATTAGATAGATAGATACATAGATAGATAGATACATACTTTATGGATCCCTGTAGCAGAAATTCAGGTGTCCAGTAGCAGCAGAAACACATGCATTCATACAAACAAAACAAATCAATATATTGTTCTAAAAGTAGCAATACTAAAACAATGCAATTACTGTCCAAGGCTGTTTTTAAAAGTGAAATAAAACTTTTTAATTGAGTCAGTCTTCAATTGCGGGGCGACAGTAGCTCAGTTGGTAGAGCATTGGCCTTTGGGCCTGGAGGTCGTGAGTTCGATTCCCACCATGGGACCTACTCCAACTGCTCCCACTGATGACTGCTGTCGTTGTGTCCTTGGGCAAGACACTTAACCCCACATTGCCTGAAGCCCCCGCTGAAAGATCAAGGCTGTTTCACAATTGACAGAGCAGCCATCTTCCTGTTGACTCACCCCCTGCAGAAGATCAGCGAGGGACTGGTGCTATGAGCGTTGGGTGGCAGCTCTCATTGCCACCCCCCGACCCAGAAATGGACAAAGGGGTTGAAAATGAAATGAAATGAAAGTCTTCAATTGCATGAAATAGAATGTTCCTAAAATCCAAATATAGTAAATGCATTGTTTTATCACGTTATTACGTTAACAACTTCAATTCAATGTATTCTTGTACAGCCCTACATCACAACAATAGTTCTCCCAGAGGACTCTGAGATAACTATCTTACTCTGGGGCGACAGTGGCTCAGTTGTTAGAGCATTGGCCTTTGAGCCTGAAGGTTGCAGGTTAAAACCCTCCACAAGACCTACTTCATGACTCCCACTGCCGTTGTGTCCTTGGGCAAAGCACTGAAGCCCCCGCTAAAAAATCAAGGCTCCTGTGGACTCACCACCTGCAGGAGGATCAGTGAGGGGCTGGTGCTCTGTGTACTGGGTGCAGCTCTGACTGTCACCCCCCGGACCCAGAAATGGATTAAGGGGAAGAAAATGGATGGATGGATGGATGGATGGGTGGACTCTGAGGTATAGGAGGATTTTCTTCTTCTGGGTGGATCATTTAGACCAGTGTCTAAAAAATAATATAATTATTTAATGTTAAATTTATAATGTTTTGTTTGTAATTTTAAAATATTTGTGTTCATTATTTGACTTGATTAATCCACTGTAATCATTTTTGTATTACAATGTTTGTAGCAGAGGCTATTTCCCCAAAATAAAATAACCAGAAGAGCCTATTCTTAATGTTGTCTTCTTGGTTATTATTTTGGGGGGCCACGCAGACCCGTCAGATTTTTAAGGGGGCCTCGGTGTTACTGAGTTTGGGAAAGGCTGATTTAGACTATTGGTCCTCCTAAATGTCAATCATTCTGGGCAGTTCTTTCCTCAACATCTGGAAAATTTTGTCAACACAGATCTGAAAACAATTCAAACATAAGAAAAAAAACACATAGAGCCATTGGTCCACAAATGCTGTTGAATGTTGAAAGAATCTAGAGATCAAACTGGACTAGAGCTAGACCCTAGATGTGCTTTAGTTCCATGTATTGTAGTTTGAAAGTTATGTACCACACAGTTCAACCAGCTCTACAGGTTGAACCACTGGATGATCCAAGAGCAGAAGCACTCAGTATCTCTCTTCTTCTTCTTCTGATGCACAGGGAGAGCGTGAGCAATCACAATGGTGCTTAACATACCTGGTTTGGTGGTGATGGCCGCCTTCTACCTGGTCATCTTGGGGACGGGCATCTGGGCCTCCATGCGTTCCAAAAGAGAGGAGAAGAAGTGGACCGGAGACGGCATGGAAATCACGCTCTTAGCCGGACGAAATATCAACTTGCTGGTCGGCATCTTCACACTGACAGGTGAGGAAACGATACACACACAACACACACACACACACACTTGCAAATGATGGTCAAAGGATGTTATTCACCTGTAAATGTAGCTTTAACATGTCATCGTAAAGTAGGAAATGCGATGATAAGATGATATGTCAAAGCTCTTTGGAACTCCATCTCACTACCCATCAGAAACTCTGACCCACTGCAGAACTTCACATCTAAAAACTCACCTGTTTCAACTTGACGTTCCTTCATTTCTCTCTTCTATTTTTTCTTCAAATGTTTTTGTAATGTGTCTCTGAGTGGCCAAAAAAGCATGATTTCTAATAAGATGGAGACAACAAGTATTAGTCTGAAATCTTCACTAGACTCTTTCTGTCGGGATAATAAATAGATCGCTTTAAAAGTAGCTAACAATAGTAATGCAATGCAATTACTGTACAAGGCTGTTTTAAAAATGAAATAAAACTTTTGAATTGAGTCAAAGTCTTAAATTGGATGAAAAAGCGCTATAAAAGTTGTATGTGTTATTACAATTATTTTTATTTATTATTAATTACTTATTTATTTATTTGAATTTAGGACAGTACATACACATTAATGTGCTGGAATTTGCACAAAAGCTAAAATGCATCTATTGTGCGAAGGCAGGTAGAAACATACAAACACACAGTTAGGCAACAGAAAAAACTTAGAATAACTCGACAAGCACAACGTAAATATTTTAAAAGAGAAGAAAGAAAATGTCGCTAACTAGTTTGTTTTTGTCATATTTTCGTTCTTTACAGCTACCTGGGTGGGTGGGGGCTTCATCCTCGGCATCGCAGAGGCCACGTACAACCCAACGCTCGGAGCAGTCTGGGCTCTTATGCCCGTGCCTTATGTCGTGACCTTCTTCCTCGGTGAGTTGAAGTTTTCATTCTGTACGAGCAACATACAGTCGCTTCAACCATATTTCAAGTATTTTATTGATTTTTTTTATTCATTTATTAATTTTGTAATCTTTTTTTTCTTTTTTTCTTTCTTTTTTATCTTTCTTTTTTTATGTTTTTTTTTATAGTTATTATTAGTTATTTTTTTAATCTTTTGTTTTGTTTTGTTTATTCATTTATTTATTTTATTTATTTGATATGGACTCAACAGTTACATTGGACAGACCAGATTCAGTGCATTTAGTGCAAGACCATGCTAATTTTTAACATTGTAACATAAGCGCATGTATCTTTGACCGATACATGCGCTGATGTTCAATCCAGTTTGAATCCATGTTGATAAAAATGTGCTTAACCCTTTAATGGTTTCCTTCCTGTTCTTGTCGTTATAGCAACCAGTTTTAGCTCTTAGTAGAAGCAAGTAAAGGTAAAACATGAAAAACGTTCTAACATTCTGGTGCAAAACTAAATATTCTGGGAGGGGGGATTTCTCAGGAATACATTGGTTTGAACAGGAGCAGTCAAATTGACGGCTCTGGGAGTTCAAGTAGCTACATAGCTCTGGTGCGTCCAAGTTGAAAGCAAGCTACACGTGGATAGAGATCATTGTTGGATTCACACGCGCTCATTCATCCTTGTCTTCCAGTCTTAATCCACGTTGATAACATGTGCTTTACCCTTTAATGGTTTCCGATCACTAGATGGACTTGAAATTTGGAACTGAAATCTCCCTCATTTGGGGCATGTCTATCACCTGGTAGAAAGATAGATAGATCTATCTATCTATCTATCTATTGATCTATCTATCGATAGATGGATAGAATAACACCAACTCTTTGTGTTATTCATGTAAACGACTTTTTAGTATTATACTTGTGCGCATGTGTGTTACCTTGTGACCTATGTTTCGCGGGTTTTGGTCCTCTATAAATAAATGGGGACCTCACTTTTTGGGAGTCTTCAACTACAATTTTCCTCTTTCTGTGTCTCTCATCCTTCTCCCGTTTGGTACGCTACATTGGTGGCAGCGGTGCCGCCGTCGCCACCTGAGTTGATGTAGGTGGTGGCGGCGGTGACGAACATTTATGCCTTGCTTTTTGTACTTTTTTGGTGGGTGAGTCTGACCTGACGGTGCCAGTCGCCATTATGGTCTCGCCATATTTTTGTGTTGATGTGGGACCGGAGTGATGGTGTGGCCTGGGCTCTTCTCGGCTGGGGTGACTGTAAAGGACTTGTGTGACGGAGTGCTGCCGCCGGGGGAGACGTTCCAGTACCGGACTGAGCATGTGGCTCGGGGCCGCTGATGTCCAGGATCAGACCGTGACATGTGCGCATTGGTGCCCGAATCCAGCGCCGTCCCTCGGGAGCCACAGGAATGTGGTTATGCCTGTTGGGGTGCCTGCTGACGTGTGTGTTCAAGAGCCTGTAATTCTGATGTTCCCAGCGCGTCCTACGGTCCCGTGTTCTGGACGTTCAGGTGATTTCCTTTGCTCCGGTCAGGGGAATTCGTGCTCCGGTTCTGCGCCAGTCGTCTACCTGCTGTCCAGACTGCTGCAGGATCGCCAGTGTTTGGTTCTTGGAGGACGCTGGGACTTCGATGCTGTTTTGTAAATTTTTATGTGTGTGTGGTGCATTTTTTTCAGTTAGACATGAGGACATGTCTTGTTAAAGGGGGGAAGTATGTAAACGACTTTTTAGTATTATACTTGTGCGCATGTGTGTTACCTTGTGACCTATGTTTCGCGGGTTTTGGTCCTCTATAAATAAATGGGGACCTCACTTTTTGGGAGTCTTCAACTACAATTTGCCTCTTTCTGTGTCTCTCATCCTTCTCCCGTTTGGTACGCTACATTCATAATCCCACATCTTGCAAAATAAAAAAAGTGCTTTCTTTCTTCAAGGAGTGAACATGAAAGGGTTAAAGTGCTGACACAGTTTTGTAATACAAGCGTTATATAAGCACAGATAAATCAGACGATTTATTGGAACATACCTCCAAGAGTTGCCCCTGTACAGTATTTTTCCGTTGCATGTTTAAGTGAATAGATACTTGAAACTGGGCTTGTTCACGCTAAAGGGTACAAAAGTGTGACAGAAGGCCAAAAATGTATTTATTATTTTTCATTTACCAAATACCTCTTCTGTCCATTGGTAGTTTTCAGAAGATAACTGTTTTATACATTTCCTATAGTAGCTTTATCTGTGTCACGGACCTGATCCTTTGACGGAAGGAGTTGCAGAAGTTTGTTACATATTTTCAGATCCAAATTTGGATCGTTTTTTACACAGAGTAGAAACAAAGTGATTGCATTAATATACAAGCCAAGTAAATGTGATTCCAGACGATCTTTTTTTTCTCAAGTAGAATTTTTTGAAAAACGTAAATCATCACATCCGTCACACATTTTTCAAGGGTCTTTCAATTTTTATTGATTATTTGAGGCATTTATTTATGTTCTGCTGGCCATGTAAACTCATTGACTGCCAGTAGTTTTTGATGATTTCACTGATTCTCAAGACCCACAGAATATTATTTCCTAAGATAATGTAAAATATGAAACCAGATTCTGAAGGATTGGATTGTCTACTTTCATCAGCAAAAATAAATTTCTTTCTGTCATGTTGTGGATTTTATTTTTGTATTTTGGTTTTATTTTGAAATAAATTGGTTTGGTTCGAGTTGTACTTTCTGTCTCGTTCCCTGTCCTGATGGTCTGCCCCGCCCTGATGTGTCTATATGTACCCTGTGCTTCTCTCCCCTTGTTGCTGGTCCATTGTCTTATTTGTTAGTGTCTTCTGTCTGTTCTGGCCTGTTCCTGGTTATTTTGGATTTTGAAGTTCTGTTTTTTACCTTGGACTTCATTATTTTGGCATTCCTGCATTTGAGTCCTCATTCATCTCACCCCGTGACAGTTTATAGCTATTTTTATTGTCCTGTAATCCCCAGTCAAATAGAGGGTCTCCGACAAATACGTCAATTGCAGTCAATGAGTCAATCTTGTGGGAGTTCATCTGCGGCTTTGTCACTGAGGACCTTTATGCTCTATGTGGAGAATTCACAGTAGAATTATCAAATCAGATGATCTGGTTTTTAAAAGATTCGCCAAAAATGTATCGGTCAATCTTTCATTTTATTTTTATATTATATTTATATTCTTTAAATTATAAACAAATAACAAAACCATACACATACACAAACATATGATACTTACACATTCACACAGACATACAGAGGGAGGAGAACAGGGATTACATGGTCATGATAACTGCAATTATCTTTCATTCATGTACATACATTAACACATGTTTATACACAAACAGAACACGTACACACTTATGTCAATCTTTTCTTTGATATGTCTGTGTTTGAAATCTTTGTTCTAATCTATGATAGTATTTTTTGTTTTGAGTTGGAACCTCTTAAAGTCCAATTACCATAATTGATGCTTTACTCTGAACACACTCAACTATACCAGATTACTAAAACTAGATTACAGAGGTATGTAAATGAACTGATGAATCATGTGTTTGCAGTGGACTAATACCTTACATGAACTTTATACAGCCTGTACGCAGTAACAACAGCAGAGGGTTCATGGGCCCTGGTGTTTATTCTATATCGGCAATGTACAGTATACACCAGGGGTCTCCAACCTTTTCCTCCAGAAGAGCTACTACAGTTTATCACAACAAAATGATGAACTTTTCCTTTAGGTAGGTGAGAGAAAGCCCACATATTGAAGTAAGTAAGGCCGGAAAACCAAATGTATTCTATTGGACACACAGCTTTAGTCTTTATTACATTACATTCACGCATCTGATTCCAATTTGAGCCATGGAGTGGCAGACTGAGCTGGTGGTCCCTCTCTACAAGAAGGGGGACCGAGGGTGTGCTCCAATTATCGTGGGATCACACTCCTCAGCCTCCCCGGTAAGGTCTACTCCAAGGTACTGGAGAGGAGACTACGGCCGATGGTTGAATCTCTGATTCAGGAGGAGCAGTGTGGCTTTTGTCCCGGTCGCGGAACACTGGGCCGGCTCTACACTCTCAATCGGAAACTCGAGGGTTCATGGGAGTTCGCCCAACCTGTCCACATGTGCTTTGTGGATCTGGAGAAAGCGTTTGACCGTGTTCCCTGGGAGCATGGGGTCCGGGGTCCTCTGCTGAGGGCCGTCCAGTCCCTGTATGACCGGAGTCAGAGCTGTGTTCGCATTGCCGGCAGTAAGTCAGACCTGTTCCCGGTGCATGTTGGCCTCCGCCAAGGCTGCCCTTTGTCACCGGTTCTGTTCAATGTCTTTATGGACAGAATTTCTAGGCGCAGCCAGGGCCCAGAGGGGGTCCAGTTCGGGGACCACAGGATTTCATCCCTGCTGTTTGCGGATGATGTTGTCTTGTTGGCCCCAACAAACCAGGACCTGCAACATGCACTGGAGCGGTTTGCAGCCGAGTGTGAAGTGGCTGGGATGAGAATCAGCACCTCCAAATCTGAGGCCATGGTGCTCGACCGGAAAAAGTTGCCTTGCCCTCTCAAGGTAGTGGAGTAGTCCTCCCTCAAGTGGAGGATTCCAAGTATCTCGGGGTCTTGTTCACGAGTGAGGGAAGAATGGAGCGTAAGATTGACAGGCGGATCGGTGCAGCGTGCGCAGTGATGCGGTCTCTGTATCGGACCGTTGTGGTGAAGAGGGAGCTGAGCCGAAAGGCGAAGCTCTCGATTTACCGGTCAATCTTTGTTCCCTCCCTTACCTATGGTCATGAGCTTTGGGTAATGACCGAAAGAACAAGATCGCGGATACAAGCGGTCGAAATGAGCTTCCACCGCACTCCCTTAAAGATAGGGTGAGGAGCTCAGTCACAAGGTAGGAGCTCGGAGTAGAGCTGTTGCTTCTCCACGCCGAGAGTAACCGAGTAAGTCGGGCCTCTGTTCCGGATGCCTCCTAGATGCCTCCCTGGGGAGGGCACGTCCCACCGG